AAAAATTAAGCTGAAAAAACTTCCCGTTTTGGACCGGGGGCTTTTTCCCCCACACCGGTTTTTCCCCCCCCCCCCCCCCAATATCAGGATCAATACAGATAATGTCAGATCGGTGCATCTCTATAAAGTACATTCAATTTTGTGACTATGATCTGGCAAAAATTGATCTGTTCAATACTCTTGCAAGTCGCTACATTTTTGTCTTGTAAAAGTAGAATACTACTGCTGTGAAAAGACACCATCACATTTGGGTTTTCTTACTTGGTCGTGGAGTTTCTGACTCTGGTAGCTGGTTGACTCTCGTGTCGACATGTTTTTCAGCCTGACTGCTCCCTGTCTGTCCAGAGAGCGAGACCGTGGCGTTTTGAACTGACTGCGGCGGTGCCAGGACATCAGCTGCTCGTTCACCACCTGACGTGGGAGACCGTGGCAGCCGTAGTGCACGTTGTCCGTCTGTGCTGGGGGGGTGAGCCTGATCTCAGGAGGCACAGGCCTCTGTGCTCTCTGGTGGGGAATAGCAGCTTTTCTGTAATAATATTCATATGTGTTGGGGGAGCAAGCCGTTTGTTGCGGGATACGGAGCCGAGTCAGGTCCATGTCGGCGGGGTAGACCATTTCATCATCGTAATACGGTCTCTGGACCGCAGGACTCATTAGAGACCCGGGGTTGCGATGAAAGGCGGTGGGAGCGAGACCTTGAGGTCCATAGCTGCCTTCTGGGCTGCAGAGCGGGGGTGTAGCCTGATACTGTCTGCGTGGATGAGAGGGGAACTCCTGACCCGGGGAGTTGCTGTGAATGGAGAAGGAGCGTTCAGAGTTGCTGTCCTCAGAGCTAGCGCAGCTGCTGTAGCTCATCGTAGGAGAATGAGTCTCTGGTAACATTATCTGGTATTCTGTCAGACGTCGCCTGGGACCTCTGGTACGGCCACGCTCCTTGTAAAATGACGATTCAGGATTGGACACCCTGGGGGGAAAAAACAACAACACAGAAACAGCTCTGATTCAGAGAGCACATGGCAAAAAAGAATGAAAATACACCAAAATATGAAATATATTAATGTTCTCGTCCCAAGAAGAACTTTAAACATGGAGGTGTATCTGCGATGTGCCTACCTGAGGGAGAGCTGTCTGTGCACACGCATCTCTGGAGTGGAGGGGGTGCTGCTGGACTGGGTGCGGCCCAGTCTCATATGGGACAGTTGTTGAGGTAAGCAAGCCTCCAACGGTGGCAACAATTCAGATTTGGCTGGACTGCTGAACACAAAGCACAGATTTTCCTGTTAATGTTGGGATGAACACTGCAGGGCCTGTGGTTGGAGGATGATTCTGTTCTTAATGTCTCCATATGGATTCAAACTGTTAGTCTTTGTCCCACTCTTTTTGGAGCTAAATGCATTCTTGTTTATGTCTAAATACAGAATTATTACATAAAACATGAACTGACGAGTCAAACAATGTTCTTACTGTATGGATATTACTGTATACATTTCTGTGTGGAAGTATATATATTTTCTTTGTTCTTTTTTTTACCTGCAATATGCATTTATTTTCCTCTATGTGGCTCAAAATAAAGCAATAACCAACTGTAATACTACCATAACCACAAACATTAATAATAATAAATTAAAAATAATACACACCTTTGGGAAACAAAAGGGATCCCTCAGAAAAATGTTCTGGTGAAATACATTACTTTTGTTTTCATTTCCAAAGCTTAAAAGTTTTGATCAGCTCCAGAAATCGTTAGGATAATGAAGCCTAAATATGTTTTACAGGGTGATGCCTTTTTACATAGCCTCCATTTTTAGAGCTTTTCAAACTTGCCTCAAATGTCTGTTTAATTTTCCAGTGTTTAACTCACTTTTTGCTGCCTAATATAATTTGTCCACACACTTATAGATGCCACAATCAAGACATGTGTACTGTTTAGTTCCTCTTTCACTGGTCATAATGTTGTGCCTCTTTCTGTGTGTGTTGGCTTTTTGCACCTACAGAGGGCAGTGTCGCACTTTCCAATAGATTGACTTCTTCTACAAAGCAGCATAAAACAGAGTATGTAGTAAAGAGAATTAGCTTTAAAACGGAAACTTTTGCTTTAACCAAGCATCAATATCAATCAATAGGTAATACAGTAGGTGTAATATTACAAACGACTTATAATCACAGAGATAAAACGTGATTTCCAACCTTATTATGAGAGGTAAAATGGCTCACTTAATCTAGACTTAAAAAAGCAGGACCACTGTCATGACGGATGGTCTGTCTCACCTCTTTGTGCTGGAGGAACGCGACTTCTTGCTCTTCTGGTACGGCTGGTCGAGACTGGACTCCGACCACGGAGAGTGCTGGATGGGAGGAGGGTCGTACACAGGGCTGGAGGTAAAACTCAACTTGGAGTCGACGCTGGGGCAGGGAGACTGACAGGGGTTAGACAGCGGCGACCGAGGAGCCGCTGATGAAGACATGTAGGAGCTGTCGACGCAGGAACGTGAGGACATGGTGAGCGGCCGGGGCGAATCCGTTTCCACTGGATAAGGAAGACCAGAGGATGGCTGCGAGGACTGGCTTGTGACTTCTGGGAACAAATGAATAATTACGGTAAAGTATTTAGTATAAATGACTGCTGAGCAAAGGTTATTCTGGAGCATCTTCTATGAGATGCAACCAGGGAAGGAGTGGTTCACAAAATAGAAACTGAGTCTTCCAACGACAAAGATAACCTGAATAGTTAGAAAAGCAGGTTTAATATGATGATTTGATTTGGCGGGGAAGATTAATCAAAACAATCTGTCCTCTATAGGAAAAAAAGAAATGACAAAAAAAGAAAAAAAAAATTCACAATGGTACCAGAGTGCTACGGGAAAATAAAAATGGAGGTGGGGAGAGTGTGACGGTCCAGGAGGTCTCACTGATTCAGGAGTTAAAAAATTTACCATAAATGATAAAACCATGAAATCTATTCTCCATCATAAAATCCTGAATGAAAACATCCAGCCGTCTATAAAAAGGAAACTGGGCCCAAAATTCCTCCACTGAGACGGAAGAGACTCATTATCATTTATCAGAAATGTTGCCAGTTATTAGTTTTAGAGTACAATTACTTTTCTTTCAACAGCAGGTTAATTTGGACAGCAAATCATAGTTTTTTTTTTACTTCCTGGTTTTGTCTTTGAGATCATAATCTGTTTGATAATCTGAAACATTTAGGTGCGACACAAAAAAGTAAAAAACAGAAGAAAACTTGTACGAGTGCAAATGTTTTTTACATCAGCGTATGTTTTATTGTTAATGGCTCAAGTGCCAAAATCCAAGCTTTTTCCTCCCACTGTAAAAAAATGAAACTAAACTTTTCCATTTGTACAAATCGGGATAAGTTCATTCTTACCTTCATCTTGCACCGCAGAATCAGATAAAGAGCTGTCATCAGATGTGCCAAGATCTGATAGAACAAAGGAAACAAAGCATAAACATTCCTATTAAAACAACTGAATCTAACCAAGTCAGAAGTTTTAATACTTTCAAAATCAGAGGGACTTTGAAAGTCATAAAGGGATTTGTCATCAAACTGTCAGTCTGTGGCTTTTTGTGGTCATGAGTTTCTCACCTTGTTGTGTAACAGCAAGACCGGGGAGTGGCGATGATCGGCCGTGCTCCAGCCGCAGCTGAAAGGCCTTTTCTTGAAGCTTCTTGAGTTTCTCTTCTTCAGTCTTGCTGTGAAGTATCCGACTCTTCTTGACAGACTTGCTCAGGTGATCTTCATCACAGAGCTTGCGGGCCGCTTCGTATATCTTCGTCTGAAGCGCCAAATCGACATCCACCAGACTCAGTTCTGAATTCTGGAGATTAAATAGCCAGAAATGTTGGGTGTCTGCGTCATGTAAAACCGTAAATCTTAGACTCTACCATCTGAAAATGCACCAGGTACCTCTGATCCCTGAGGAATGTTTTGCTCATCCAGTTTAAACGCAGCGCCGATGCGTCTGCGAATCTGTGGAGGCTTCTCTCCTGGTAGCAGAGGGTAATCCTTTGGCAGCTGACCCGTCAGCTCCTAAACAACAACAATAAAAAATAATTAGAAAGCTCATTAATATCTTAACAACTCTGAAAGTTTCATTTTATAGGACAGACAGGGGATTTATTAGACAGTTAATCAAAACAAAAGTTTGTTCAAAATCACAGCCGTTAAATCCCGTGTTTAGTTTCTGTTGCACTCTTCTGAAGGGGTTTATCCAACATCCTCCACGGCGGTTATGAAACAATACACAAAAATCTGTATCAGATCCTTTCCAACGTGTTCAGACAGACACATTCAAAGACTCGGTTGCACAATTCTGCGTGCAACCAAGCAGGGGGATTTTGTTTCACAACCGCATATTTTTGAATTTCACTTTCTGACCGAATCGGTTTTCATACCCAACAAGACGCAGATAAAACAATAAATACATTTTAGGGAAGTTAACTGTCACAGGGACATCGTTCTTATGCAACCGCGTTAATTGTGGTTTATGAGTATGTCCTTCTTCTTTGTCACAGAGATGTGAGAGAGGGAGTGTGACTCCCATTAGTTTGTGTAAGCATGTCCCAACAGGACTGCCCAGCCCAAGTGTCAACGGGAAACAGCGACCCATTTTGGGATTCCACATTGGAGCGCCTGTGCGCGTCAACACTACAACTGTTTCCCACTTCAACTGTCCAGCTTGGAAATTACATGTAATGTGCATGTCAGTTTTTATTGAACCCTTCACTCAGCTGGCGCGTAGACAAGGAAAGAGGAAGTTAACGGCATGGTGTGTGAAAAAAAACCCCAACAAAAAAACAAACAAACCTCGAAGTAGATTCAATTCTACAGAAATGCAAAGCTTTACCGTTTCCTCTCATCTCTTTAAGGATGTTATCTATGGATTTCCAACAAAAAAATTATACTAAACAGGATCCTGAAGATATATTACTGCTGATTCTGCTTCATGTTCCTGGGTTGGTGACGCCACATGAGGCACAATGACCACGACGCTCAGCAAGCGTGACAAAACTTTGTGTCAGATGAACAACTTCTGAGAGATTTCGACTAATATTCCAAAACATTTGAGAAACACCTGAGTTGAAAGAGTTTAACCATACAGGTCTGAACCAGAGTTTGACTCTTATGACCCCCAAGAGACGATGGAAGCTGCTATGAATGATAAAAATGAAGCAGAGAAGATGCTAATCTGTAAAACCTTAACCAGTATTTTCCTTAATATTTTTCCATTTTAGCCTCCATGCGTATTAAGCTCTTGAAAAATTAGCGAGCGGCATCATCTGCTTGTATCACTTTAAGTGTTTATGTAATTCACCTGCAGAGTGGAGATGAACGCAGTCTGATCTCAATCTGCTTTATCTTAGAGAAACAACTTTGCACTTTCTGTCTGCTGAGCTATGGGAAGTTTTTCTTCCAAGAAGGAAAAAAAAAAGTGTCTTACTGACAGGACAGATGAGGATGATGGGCCAGGGATTTTTAATTAAATTTCAGGATAACATGTTTCGACATTTTTCTTAATCAAAGATCTGTAATAACTATAAAACCTTATAAGCTAGAAACATTTCCACAGCAAAAAGGAAAAGATAAAACACACTAACAACTCGTTTTCTGTAGAATGTTTGGGCAATTCAATACAAAAATGATTTACAGTTGCTTTTCTTTTTTTCCACTTTGCAAAGACAGATTGTTTGCTTCAAGGTTGAAATAAACAAAAATGAGGGTCACGCCATGCATGAACATTTTATATGACCACAAATGGTGTTAGGAGTGTCCCGACTCCTGGAGAGCAGAAATCAGCTACTTTTACAAGCCAAACTGTGGCTTTTGCCCTTGCTACTGGAGAATAAAATGGTCTAAATGACCAACTAGACCCTTGTCTAGTTTATTATTAAAAAATAACTGCTTTGTACAAATAGTTTGGCTTATGGTTATTTCCACTGACAGGTTTTAGAACAAAGAAATAAACATCAAATTTGTACAAAATGAGAACAAACATATCCCTAATCATTGCTCCATTTTTGTGGAAAACTAAGAAGAAAAAAAAATTGGTTACCTGATGCCAAAACAGAAAGAAAAATACCTTTAATTTGACCACTCTGTGTAAATTCTATACAGATATTAATTTTAAAAAACTGATAATCTTTGCATTACCTATTAATTAAGAAAGTACATCTAACTTCTTATTTATTATATTAAGAGTCACTCTGGAGAGGCTGATGACCCATTAGCAGCTAGAAAGTCGTAGCTTTCCGTCCCCTGCTCAGGGTTGGGGCAATATATCCCTTTAAAAGGAAACTTTCAGGGGCAATTACAGGGAAACAGAAGTTCAGATTTTCTCTTTAAACTCCAGTTTACCATGCTTTAACTTCTGTGTTATTGTCAAGTCTTATTTGAAAAAAGTAGACAAACTTTTGTAGAAACAGACTGAATATAAAAACACTAATTACAACCACTTCTAACCTGAAATTGTAGGAAAAAAAAAAAAAAATCTTTTTTTTAATGATATTCAAGAGATTTTACGAGACAGAAAAATGGAGTCTTTGTCACATGTTGTTTGTGAAGCAACATTGTGAAAATGTGCGTTTCCACATAAGATTTCCCTGGAGCTTTTGTGAAACCAACTATGGTTAACAAGCAGTAAAATGAGTCAGCGGCACAAAACTGCCCCACCAATCTAAGCCTTCCTAAGCAGGAGATGAATCATTCACACGCTGACTGCGGATTGCATCGCTTTGATTAAATGTAATATCTTTAGTTTTGTCAAACAAAAACATTGCATATCATTTCAAACAAAATCAATCTTGAACGTTTGTTCTTGAAGAGTTCGTCTGAGATTGTGACTCACAGCCTCTCGGATGCAGAGCTTCTTCAGCTCCAGTATGCAAATCTCCAGCCGGTCTTGGAGCGCCTGGTGTTTCAGCTTCATGGCCCGCGTGTGTGTGGTCACATCCTTTGCATGCGTAGTGGGACTGTCGGAGCCTGTGCCGTGCAACAAGAGAAACGAAACGCGACTTAGCCTGAGATCAACAATCGTGATTGTGACTGTCCTAAAGTTCACCACGGAGTGAGTAGTTAATAATAAAGCTCACACGGAAGCAGAACGTAATTAATAAATAACTCAGTCAAATCGAAACAAAGCAGGAATTAAAAATAAAACATCATAAAAACTTTAATAAACTTAATGTTGGCGTTAATGAGTTTGTCCCCATTGTAACCCCAACACAGAGAACATTTTGTGAGAGCTGATGTGTTGACTCCGGGTCACCGACATGTTGTTTCAAGCATCACTTTAATTGTTGCTGAACTGCATTGCATTATCGTGACAAGTCGGCGAGCAAACTGAACGCCTGCTCTGTGTGCAAAAAAACATGAAAAGCATCCATTGTTTAAACAAAGCTACTTAATAAGTAAAGGAACAGTTCAAGAATTATTCAAGTGTTTGTGTGAAACTGGACTTCTCTGATTAATCTATGCGAATAAATATATTTATATTTTTAATTCACATTATGTTTTGAAATCATTTTTTTTTCCTGTTGTCTGAGCTAATCTGGTATGAAAACAAGATAGTGAATCGATCAAAATTTTGAGTGGAAAGCCTTTTGTTCATTTGGCGATTAGCCAACACAGCAGTTTGGACAAGACATAACTCTTTAAGTGAAGAATAAACTCCTAGTGCGTTCCTCATTCATGACACCGAAACTGCACAATCAGTATCAGGATCTTTCTAATCACAGACAATGTTAAGAGTGTGACTGGTACCGTCTGTAGCCATGGCGACTGATGACATGAAGATTAGTCTCTGGCGTGGGAGGGGCTACTAGCCACAATGCATTGAGTGCTGCATACTTTCAGAGATTACTCGAAGAATCCCTGCAGGTGCTGACAAACATCTGAGGTGCAACAGGAAGAGAACGTGACAGCACGACAATAGGCTAAAGAGTCCCCCCCCATTTTCAGACACAATTCCCCTTTTCAATGTGGACCGACACGTTTTCATTGTGCGAAGCAGAAACCACGTGGCTCAATAAAAGTACAGGGAATGTCAGAGAGGACAACGTATCAGTAGACAGCAGCGGGTACAGAGAGCAAGTTTAGGTTTCATGCAAGTTCAGTTAAGAAACGCTCACTGACTTATTCATGAGGATTATAATTTAGTTAATATTTATTGATTCATATTTATTTAATAAGCTTTGAATATGGATTTTATCGGCTGCTGGTAGCAGTGTGCAATCAATCCACTGAGACTCCATTGAACAGGATGAATACGTTACTGGTGTGAAAAAAATTATTCATGACAAAGGGGATAACAACAAATATTCATACTTGTGTGCTGGATTAACAATTTGTGCATATCTAACTTTACATTTTCTTTTCAGAACCATTAGTGTTGGGTTAGCAGTCCAAGAGATTGAGAGCGAAAGATTAAGGTTAAGATCTGTCAAGAAACATAAACTGACGTCAAAGATTAATTTTTAGATTTTACTTTTGAGTCTAACCAAAATTAAACTCATCTGCTTTACAAAAGAAGTAAACAAATTCAACTCAAGTCCATTTAAGCACATATTCAGCGAGACTTGTATTGTAAAAAAGGTTTTAAAACAGAAGTGTGAAATGCTGAAGAATAAACAAGACATGTAAAAACAGACAGCAATTTAACCTTCCTAGAGTCAAAGAAAGCATAAGAGTTAAATGTTTGTAAGTGCTTATAAACCAAAGATAATCAATTTGTCAGTAACAGGTCTAAATACATCTTTAAATTATGAATACACCCATGTGAACAAGTTTAAAGTGGTAAAAGAAAAACTTTGTTTCCTCCGTCATGAAATCCGTATTCTACTCACAAGCACACCCTAATAAATAGAAATAAAAAAATGGACATAAACAAGAAAATGCTTTTTTGCAGCTTGCTGCAACATGTCAACATTACCTAAATAAAGAAGTGCTTACAATAACATCAAAAACAGCACTGACTGAGATTGCCTTAAGTGATGTAATTTAAGTCAGAGTTTATTAGATCCAGGAACCAAAAGTTTCACAATGAGCAAATCAGCAGGTCATGCAGTTACATTTAAATATAGAGGAATGTCTGCACACGGCACTTCCTCAATTCTAACACTGGGTTTCATCTTTAATAGCTTATACGGAAATACCACAAATCCTATTATTGCTTGGAAGGCAAAATAAGCAGCAGGTACTTCTGCGTGGATCATCTAGCCAGAAAAAGAGAAATGCTAAATCAGTGTGATCATTTAATCTAAATCAAGAGTCGGGACAGAAGCTAACCTGGTGCTCCTAGTCAGTTTTGAAATGGCTCTCTGAGTAGCTATACCAAACAACTTTTTTCATTCACAAAATTGATCATTTGCACTCAACTTTAACTGTCTGCGGTTACTAATTCAAACTCATTTGATTTAGACTGTAAAGGAGAGAAAAAAAACACCATATCCAGTATAATGTTTTTGAATTCAGAGGAAGGCCCAGTCATGTTGAGACCTGGCTATTGGCCTGACCTGGACAAATAATGAGCTTCAAGCCTAAGGAAAAAACATGGTTGGACAGCCAGGTGATCCTCTGTTATCTGAACCAAAGACATTAAACTATGATTAATGATACAGGCCAATTACTGCTAGTACAGAGCTGTCATCATAAAAAGCATTGCTTCACTCATCTGGTATGTCTTCTTTGCACGACCTGCTGAAGGTAGGTACAGCGCATCTGTCAGGACTAACAATTGTAACAAACAAGGTTTTCCTGAGCTTAATGCGTAAGTTTAACACTTTTTTAATGTCTAAGCACTAGTTTTTGCATGTCAAATCACTTAAAAGTTATGCCTTGCATATGTGAGCCTCCTAAATTAAAAAGCAGTTCAGCAGCTTGTTTCATGTTTTTGTAGAGCTCTAACGCTGCATTTGCTTTGTCTTGAAAGTCAAAGCTTAGATATGGGAATGACGTCTGACTACTGTCAGGCTTGTCGCATCAGTAAGATGGATAGCTGCTGGGATTTATTAGATGTTTACCAGGCTAAAACAACAAGCCATATTTACGAACACATTAGAATAACAATCAGAGGGTCTCTGGTCCGTTTGACACCAGAAGTGCTGGCAAAAAGAAGCAAAAGACAATGTTTGAAGCAAAGCCAAAAGACAACCAGCGTTTAAGAACTGATTTGGAAATTACATCCATGGACGGCTGTGGGTGTTTCTTGTAATATCAAATCAAATAGCAGGAAGATAAGAGACAGTGAGCTCATGTTATTGCAGAGATTTAAGACTTTTCATTAATTTTGAAGAGCTCTGTTTTACTGTCTTTTTTTTTGTTTTACATTAAACTGATAAAAAAAAAAATTACGTTTTAAATGTAGCATTTGGATTGGTTGTTCGTCTCCATAAGCCTGCCTTAGCTCCTGATGAAAGTAGCTGATAATAATAAATAAAAAGAAAGAACCAGTTCAGGACCGGAACAAGAGCTTGTATCGGTGGAAACACAAAGAACTGGTGCTAAACAAGTTCCAGTACCAGTTTATGAATAGAACTGGTTTGGTGAAAAAAAAATGCAGGTGTGTTTAACGTGATATACCCATAAGATGTACAAACAAGAATCTCGACAGAGAGTTATAAGCACAGCAGCCATATTGAATCAGCAGAAACCAAAATTTTTGGTTTTCCAACAAGAAACATAGAAATTCATGTCATTAATGATTACTCAACATTTTCACCAATTCAACATCAACTATTTTTTACCCGAATGAAGAATGATGCCGCTGTCTGTGTCGCTGATTTCTCCAGTGACTTCCATGTCAGCTGATCGACTTCTTGTTACTTGTTTTCGATTGAAGCAAACGATAAGAGCCACACCATGCCCTGTGAAGTACAACACCAGCCAATGTTACATTAAATTTAAATTAAACACAAAAAAGAAGGGTAGTTTGTGGAGTCTTTGGGATAAACGTCATGGTCAAATTGGTAATTATTGCTGACGGAGGGAAACTGATTTTTGAGTATAAAACTAGTTATAAATACTGCAGGTCACAGTAGTCGCAAACTTGCAAACGTTTCCCTTCATACCATTCCTTAAAGTGCTGGAGGGACTGAAGATTTATCTGGCTTTATGTAGCAACAACACATTTTTCTCTTGCTCAGCAAGGACAAATTTGGCTGTTTGCAAATATTTCTTATAGAGAAAACACAATGGTCATGGTGTGGAAACCAAGGAGAAAATCATCCATCTTGCTGCTATTGGCATGTCTGTAGCACAGTGGACTGCTGGCTGGTTACTGACCAGCTAATATCAACGTCATGGTGCTGGTTTGCATTTACAAGAAAACCACTCCTAAATTTAGCTCTATATTATTTACGTTTGGTATAATAAAAAAATGCCTGGTGTAAAGTTATTTAGATTTTTGTGTTAATACAGTGCGTTCCCAAAACTCAAGTTATTTTTACTCAGGGTTATCATACCTTCAACAGACTGCAAGAAATTTCTGAAGCATGTTTTGCCAACATATGCCTAATTATCTGACTAATTTAATAGAGCGGGTTGACACAACACTGCAAATATTCACAAAATTGAAAAGATGAATAGCTTTCCTTCATAAATCAGACAAGCAGCCAGGACAAACATGAGCAAAACGTTCTTTCCCACCATTACCTAATCTTGCGACCTGTTGCTTCAGTGATTCAGGTGTGACGTGCCTTGTTGACCTCACAGACAGGTGTAGTCAGCGTCTTCAAGAGGGTGAGTACATACACACACATGTTGCCTTGTCTAAGGCGTTTCCGGTGACTGCATGTTTGTTAACACTCTGATGATTGTTAGCTCAGTCCGTGTAATAACTGAGACATAAATCCACCTGATGTCAAAGAGAGACCGACTGTGAGGCTTGTTGGTTTGATTATTAACCAGGAAAATGAAGGAATGTGATGGTGACCGCATTCCAGCACACAGGAGAGGGTCACTATGGCTAACACCAGGAGGCTGCTGCCTTTGGATAGATAAGCTACTACTATACTGATGGTGCTGCTGGCACATGACGACACTGAGGAACATACAGGCGTTAGTAAAACGTCTCCCTTTATCACTCAGGACATGACAAGCAGATGACAAACTGCCTCCACAAATCCCATGACTTTGAAAATCTTGCACCATCAAACCACAGATACGCTGCTGCTGTCATTGCAGAAATTAAGGGAAATCAATAAAACACAAAAGGTTGAAAGAAGAAAATGATCCAGATGATATTTCAAACAGAACAAGGTAACACGCGTTTAAGAAAAAAGCCATCTCGACCAAATTGTTTAAAAAAAAATCTCAAATATCTACAAATAGCAGAACTGAGGTGCTAAAAACAAAAGCTAGATTATCAACAGTGTGAAAGCAATGCTGATTAGCAAAATAAAAATTGGTAAAAAAAAAAACAAAACATGTTATGACATTTATTAATTAGGCAGCTTTCCTTCAAAATAAAACCTTTATTGCCAACAAATAGAAAAAGATCCCAGAACTACAAGTGCAATTCACTATCAGTCTCTTTTGTGAAGTGAAAATGCTGTAACTTAGGAGAAATTGTTTTTAAATAAAACACAAAGAGATAAAAAGTCAGTTTTGAAAAGTCTGTAAGTATCCAGTTATATTATTTAGACACAGAGCCACATGAAATAATATTTCACTCACTTCAAACCTGCACCACTTCCACAGCTAAGCTGATTTCTCTAGAATACGAAGAGAAATACCACCTGAGACGTCTTGACCTCTGAGCATTAGAAGTTCCTCGTTTCTCATTATCTGTTTCAAACTGAGATAAACCGGTAATCAATTCATTTATTATGCGTTGAGCAAGACTGAAGTTGTTTCCTTTAATTTACAAAAACTTAAACAGCTGAAGCAGTGAAAAGCCCTAAACGTTCAAACATTGTGATGTCTGAAGAACGCAAGGTGTTTGAGAAACGATTTTTCTGATATTTTTCTGATAGACAAAAGAATATTTCTGAAGCATAAATATTAATTAACTCTATAGTTTTCAAATATAGATATAGTTATGTGATGTAAACCCCTTTTTTTTTTAAAAAATGAAAAAAATAAAAAACACAACATATTCTACATCGTAAATAAGAAAGCAGATGAAAGCAGATATTTCTCAGGCACTTCCAGCCAAACAACAATAACAAATGTACTTACTCTGTGGGGAACTAAGAAAAACAGCCAAAGTCAAAGAGGTGAAATAATCCCCCTGAGAATCCGTGACTTGAATGTTAAGAAAAATGTAAGCGGTGTGGAGTCTGGACAGGAATGAGCGACTCGCCCACAGAGCGCGGTGCTTTCTGGGGAGGAGTGGCTGCATTCACAGAGGGCTGAGCGCTTTAAACACGGTGTCGGATAACCCGACTCCACTGGCAGAGTTTGAAACTGTGTCAACAACAATGACCAACACACTGAGGAATTACACCTAGCATCACCCTCCTATCAGCACTCGCGAACACACGAGTGGCAACTTGATCAAAACTGTTTTCCTTCACATTCGCTACGGCTCTAATGAAACCAAGCAGTTTAGTAACTAAAAATAAAGTAACAAGCAAATTAATCTGTCAGCTGATCATCAGAAAAGCAAAACAAATGGGGCAGCTCAAGAAATGCTTTCTCATTTTTAATATGTTGTGACCAATGTTTGATATTCCCACCCATGCTTAGTCTATCTTGACAATTCCAACAAGTCACCCGTCTTGAGCAGTAACGCTCACCGTTTCTTGTGACAACTTGTTTATAGGCTCAGATTTGAGGGAAAGATTGAAAAGTGTCTCTCAGAGACGACTAAAGACAAACTTTCTTTAATCCAGTGCTTCCCAAACTTTTCAGCTTCCGATCCCCAAATAGCAATGCAGCGTGTGACTGACTAGTAATGCTTGTGCATACAAGAATCTGCCATCAATTAAACATGGGTATAATAAAAGTAAAACCCACACCAAATACCATTAACTTATCTCATCAATTTTTAAGCATGTTTTTATCTCTTCTAAGATAAAATGGCATAAAAACGTTTTAATTATGGTCCTTTTATATGTTGTTTACTTTGATTCCAAAAAGAAGCTCCACAGTTCCTGATCTGGGCTCGCCACCCCCCTTTCAGGAACCACTGCTTTAATTAACGGTTTTAAAAGATTTTACGACTTTAGAAGCTATTTTACTGGTTTTCTGATAATTACCATTCTAGCTTGTTTTCTAACTTCAGTGATTCAGGCATTCAAGTAATTTTGACTACTGCCACCTCCTGGTTGAGGAATACAGGATTCCAGCAAGTTTCAGTAAAACAAAGTTAAGAGTTTACAGACTTTTATAAGACCATGATTTAAATTTGAGATATATTTGAATTATGAAATAAACTCAATAAAAACAAATGTTACATTATAGCACACAGTTAATCACAAAAGCATTCATCTTCTAGGTGATTTAAATTTAAAATAATTTTAATTCAACCAAGAAGTTTGTGTCCAAAAGGAGACAACCATCTCTTGACAGAACAATATAAAAGAAAAATCAATAACAAAAAAAAACAACTTTTGTTTTCACAGTTAAGAAAATGAAATGAAATTATTTATGTCCTTCTCAATAATGAATGGTAAAATAGTTATTGGAGCTACAACAATCAAACGTTTGGCCTGTTTCTTCTGGTAATTTCTTCTTAAGGACATGAGTGCTACATCTTTGAAGTTGGAAAGCCTCTTTGTCATCACCCTAATCTTTAACCTCTTCAACAGATTCAAGTTGGGTCTCTAATTTGGCGACTTCAAAATGTTATTTCTTCCACTCACAAGCCATGTGTTGGTAATATTAAACAATTACTTTAAACCTAAATCTGAAAGGTCTTGAAGTTGGCTCATTTTGGAGTTTACGCTGTTTAACATGTTCAAATTGTTTAATATTGTAGGTCAGTTTTTTATTCAAGGGTTTAAGCAGTATACAGTAAGCTTCATTAACAAATATATATATATATATATATATATATATATACACACACACACACACTTCGGGTAAGGTAAGCAGAGTGTTTTGATTTTAATAGTTTGAACATAAAATATACCAGTTTCAGAACCAGAATTATTTTGTGGTTTTGTAGGAAATGCAACATTTCATTTACTGCTGTCTTCACAACTTGTCGTCAGTGGAAAAGCAACAAATGAACAAATATAGAAACCATAAATTTCAATTTAGGATCCAATATGAAAAATCTAGACATATTTAAGTCTTTTTAAAACCCTGTTAACAGTACTTAAGAAAAATAATCTGTAATTATCTCGTAACTCTTGATATGCGTGTCGCCACTTAAACATTCCCACTTGACGACCTGCTTTCAGAACAACCCAGAGGATGTTTTGTGGCCTGTCATGTAAAAACATATGGAGAAGCAAATGGCAGCGGGAAGTCCAGATGATTTAAGCAGACTCGCAGCACCTGCTCCGCTCCTGCATGGCTTAAATTCATTCTGAATCTACACATTCATTTTGGCTTTCCAGGAATGTTGGGTCTCAGACATGTAGCAAAAGGTCCGGCGATTCCCAGACATTGGAGAGTCAGATCTCAAATGACATGGCACTGAGGAAGCAGCAGCTTTAGAGGTTGTAGTTTTAGGTTAGCAACATGTATTACATTCAGCCTTGACGGCGCGAACACAACTGGACACAGTGAAAAACACTGGGCCTCTTATTGTTCTGGCATGCCAAACCTTGAGAAGTTGAAAGAAGGTAATTTCCATGCAGAAATCTTTATTGGATGATTCATGTTTGTTTCACGACTTCCGTTCGGAAAACAAAAGCAGAACTGCCTGTTTAAAAAGCCTATTAATAAAGACTTCCTCATGAAAGTAATACTT